GTCAATCCTGTTTCAAATTCCGCAATAAGTTTATGCACCTCATCAACAGAATTGACGTATCCTATCCTGTATAGTATTTCGTACACTTTGAGAATTCTCTTTTATTCGATTTCTACGTATGCATCTCGTCCACTTTTAAGGTTCTCTTCTTTAATGGATTGTTACGTTAGTATCTCGCGCACTTTGAAGATTTTTTTTCCATTTAATAAGCATCTCGTACATTTTTAGGATTTTCTCTTATTCAATTGTAACGTAAGCATCTCGCGCACATTTAGGATTCTCTCTCATTGGATTGTTACGCTATCTCATGAACTTTTAATATTCTCTTTCACCGGATTGTTACGTTAGTATCTTGCGCGCTTTTAGAATTCTCTTCCGTTCGATTGTTACTTTAGTATCTTGCGTACATTTAGGATTCTCTCTCATTGGATTGTTGCTTTGCCATCTTACGCACTAAAAAAAGTAAAATTATAATAAACATGTATACGCGTACTTAGTATATAATAAACCAGTGAAATAATATGGCACAAAAAGATAATTTTAACTTTTTTTTTATTCCTGCAACCATTAGTATATTTCAGGTTCAAATCCCGCGCGTGTTGCTCGGAGGTGGCTTGGCTGTCAAGTCTCCATCAATTTTCAATCGCCTTCGCTTAACCATTGGGAGCTAAAAGGTCAAGTTAGATCTCAGCCTCGTTTCCATGTTGAAATATAAAACGCGTGACCAAAAATCCCTGTATTTTGAAACGTATATAGCACAAATTCAACTCGACGAATTATCTCACGTTGATCAGGAGGTCTTTATCTATCAGAATCAAGAGTCAGACCTCTTCTGTGCGCAACTCATTTTTTCAGTGTCTGCTCCCTGACTCTGACTGCTTTTAGTTCGAGCGGAGTTCTGATTTTTTAATTTCAAGAGGTCGAATCTTGTTAAATCAACGCGATGTTCGCTTCAATTCTGGTAGTAATCTTTATTCTGAAGTCATTTTACGTGATTCGAGTCGACAGTGTTGTAATTGGAGCCTTCGTGATGCCCCACGGTAAGCAAAATTTAGTCACTAATTGAAGCGTTTTACTGGTAAGAGTAAATTATGTTGTATGAAGACAACTCTGAGGAATCAATCGAAAGTCCCTTGATGGAGAATGAATTTTCATCAAGACGTGACATAACAAATCATCCAGCCCTTTACACCCTAACATCAGTATGTATATTCTCCACACTGTTCTCTATACATTTGCCAAAGTGCTGCCAAGGAGAATTAGTTTTAAAATCAAGAGCCTCTTCTAGTTTGAGATCATGTCCTTGATTCTCGCGACCTTAATGTGTAATTTAGGGGTGATATTGTAAGGAGAAATACGATGCTAGTCACTCATAGGGTTCAAAGGGTTAATAAGAAAATATTGGTAAATAGATATATAAGGAACGAAATGCTACAAATGGGAAAAAGGAGGATAGGTCCTCAACGCGTGACAGAAGAAACCGTTTGTTTGAAACAAGTCTTGTTTAATTAATAATAAAGAAAAGCATATAAAATATTAAAAAAGAAGGCAGGGGTATGCAATTACGTTCCAAATTCAAAACGGATCAGTTTAATTTTTCTAATTCCTAACAGAATAAAGACAGATGCCATTCGTTTATTTCACATGGCGTTCATTCCTCTCATCCATCTTTCCTCTCTCTCTTTTCCCTCCTGTCTTCATCAGGTATTTATTAAGTCTGTCTGTCTGTCTTTCTGTTTATTTATTTATCTTTCTGTTTATTTATTTATCTAGATGAGCTCTTTTCTATCAGTGTACTTCCGTATTTGCGTACGTGTTTACCTCTTTTTTATTTGCTAATTATTTAATCAGGAGGCATCGCTCTGGACCCACGCTACTTTAACACAACAAACGCCACAGCTAAAGCACAAGCCTGGTTGGTGCATGACGCTTCAAAACAAGTGGGCAAACAAATCGATGATCTCAAGCCTGATACCATCGTTCTCAGCACCCCACACGGAATTGCTGCCCCTGAAGATTTCATTTTCTATCTTAGCCCGAGAGGATTCGGATTTTCTGACACGGACAACTGCGCATGTCCACCGTGCTGTTATAACCTGTCCGTTGCCATGGATTCTAAAGGGAGTGAGAACCTTGTAAGGATACTCAAGGACGAAAATGAGAAGGTATCGTATCTGAGCGCATTTGGGCCTCCCGGAAACGAAGATTTTCCCTTCCCTTTGCGATGGGGCGAGGTGGTTCCATTGTATTTCACAAAAAGTGTTTTAGGCCAGCCAAGTAAGGTGATCATTCTGTCCCAGCCGAGTCGCAGGTACACGGAAAGTGTGGAGATGATCCCTGAGCTGCACCATCTCGGCGAAAGCTTGTTTGAAATTCTCCAATCGCAGCTGGAGAAGATCGTGGTCATCATTAGCGCTGACTTGGCGCATACTCACTTGAAATCAGGGCCGTACGGTTTCTCCACCGCCGCCAAGCCCTTTGACAAAGCGTGCGGAGCTTGGGTGAGCACCCAGGATTCTGAAAAGCTTGTAGTTGAAGCGGCGTCTTATGTGGAAAAAGCTCTTTCTTGTGGATTCACGGGACTGGTTATGCTGGACGGGATGTTAAAGGCCAGCCCTTTCACCTGGGAATCCAGGCTTCTCGCTAACTACCACCCGAGCTACTACGGCATGATGTTGGCGTCTTTTTTGCCTCGGTAATGATCGCAAACAACCATGCAGTTTTCTTTATGAAATAAAAACGTAAAGAAACGAGAGTTCATTTTGAAGATTAAGGTGCAGGTTCTGGGAAAACCAACACGATTACAGCAAATTATTTGGGGAATTCATTACTAGATAGCTTGCTCCTTTCTTCATTTATGGTCAATGAACAATACCTCCTAATTAATATCGAGAAACCCTGTATAATCTCCAATCAGTTACCTCGTCAACTCTAACAAGTTGTGTTCAGAGGATGGCCAACATCCCATCCCTCAGGTACCCACCCTCGAAAGGCGCTCCTCAAGATCACCCATGAACCAAGAGGTAAAACCATTTTCATCGCGGTAAACAAGCAACTTTATTTTAGATCATGTTTGTACATACAATTTTTTTACATAGGTTTACATATATACATATTACATACATATTTCAATTCCAGGATCTTTGTACACATCCGGTCTAGCCCAAAAGTACCCGAATGCAGTTACATTGTTTTCAGACATGTTTGGCATAGTGACCTACGCTACCTGGTTCGTTCCCTACAGAGATCCTGGTCAGTGTGCGACTTCTCCAGCAATTCTCTATGTGCGAAACGGAATTCTCAAAATATTGCAAACGCGGAATTATTTTAATTCCTTAAGCACGCAAACTAGGTTTACGATACCATTTCACAGTTAGTTTGATCGTCACAGTCAGTGTTGCCACTTGGGTATACCCAAAGAATAGAAGACTACGGTTAGTGTGTACTGCCGATTCAATTCCTCTGAGGGAGGGGAAAATTCAACTTCTGAAACGTGTTCAGAGTAGTTAGCACGATTGCTTGTCTGAAAGCTTCCTCTGAAAAATATTTCTCGTGCCTATTTAGTTGTCCTCGTACTTTGACATCCCAGACGAACACATCTGTCACTTTGTCATGAAAAAGCTCGGTTGAAAGTACCTATGCCCTACACGTTATGGCTAGATAGCTACCGTGTAAATTATCGTGTTCAAGGTTACGGTGTTTTGGTTATACTTCCATGAGATCTCCATGAGCTTTTATTAAAACATCGCTGAGAGAGCTTCGTCGGATAAAAGTAGCTGAATTCAATGAATGGACTCTAAACCGCTCAGAAAAATATTGTACAATGTAAAAATGTCGTGTAAAAAGATAACTGCCGTATGACAAAATATAACACTTCTAAGCGCTTGGCAAACTGCTCACTTGCTTACGCTTTAACCCGGAAAAAGAAGTATTTCATAAAGGAAATAGTTTATAACAGAACAGTAAGACACTTATAGGGATGAACACTCTCTTTAGAATCAGTGAAAAGGAAATACTAGTCAACCAACAATTAACTTGTTAACTTTGACACGCCAATTAAACAAAATGGAAAACATAACATTGTTAACAAACACAAAGAAAATAGAGACACCGCAAAAAAATAAACATATCTCGGAGAAGCTGCCGAGCCTGGCTCCTAGGCTGGGCAAGAGGAGTGGTAAAGAAAGTTCTCTCTCTCATGATCTGCCTAGCTCATCCTGTAATGATAGTTACAATCATACTACATTTGGCTTCTCTGTAACTGATCCAATAATAGCTGCATTTTTACGACATAGTTACAGAGATAAGTTTTAACCGATACGCTTTTACTCACGAGCATTGAGTTTTGTACTAACGCAGATGGTTTTCTTCATACCAATTTCCGATAAATTTACAATTTACATTAGCTTACATTTACATTGCACAGACTGGCCTACGAAAAGTGTTACCACAAAATGCCATAGGTAGCCACCTTCGCATTGGTCTAGTCTGATCACGCAACGCATTCTCTCTCTAATCAATTCTATGACAAGTCTAAACGGTCTACGAAATTACTTTTTAAAGGAAAACAATAGTTTTATGTGCGAGTTCGGGCCCTGCTGGGCGTGCTGTTAATAATTAAATGACGAGTTAATGCTTTAAACCATTAATAATGCTAAACCATAATTAAGATCATGAAAATAACAGAGAGGCGTCTCAGTCTGATGAGAACAAGCAAAATTTAGGAAGATAATACCACAAAGAACCCATCTCAGATATAATTTTCGGTAGGTAAGTACATATGATATTATAGCTGAACATGGCTATTGATTTACAACAAATGAATTCTTGGTCATATACACTGTACAATAAAAATAATCATGATTATTTTTTCTGGGCTCAGATCTAGTAAAGTTAAACCATGAAGCCTTTTGCCATGACATCAGGATGGAATCAAAATAATTCTTAGACTATTTCAGTTTTCTTGCAGTCATGTTATATTACTCTTCAGCCAGCAGAGAAAATTTGCAAAGTGACATAGCATCACCCAGACTGTATGATAGTTGTAACAGTCAATACATTTATTACAATGTAAATCTTTTAAATATTAATAACTAATAATTAAAAACTCTAATAAGGAGAATAAATTACTCTGTGTTGAAATATTCTTTCCACTGACTTAAACAGCAGTGTGCATGAACCACAGGAGCCAGCCTTAAAGCAGTGGGTATCATGTCTTTTCCTCATCTTCACTGCTTTTTTTATCTGAAGAATCATAACCATCTTGATTAAGATTCATGTCATCAAAGTTCTGAAATAAAAACAAAGTGAAAGAGATTAATTCAACTCCTTTGTTCCGTTGAACTTTTAATACCATTCAACCAAACACAGTTACCACTAAAGTCTTATTAAAAAGTATTGCACAAACAAATATTACTCCTTTATACACCTCAAGTTCTTTCACAAAAATAGTACTTATGAATTGATTCAAACACTAAAAATGTACCTCAAGTTCGCGTAAAACTTCATCCATAAAATCTGTTGAGTTTTCTTTATATTTCACTGCCAGCTTTATTGCTTCTCGAAAGGCCTTCATACCAAACAGAATCAGTGAATTAATTAATTAAACAATGGACAGGTACAAAAATGTGCAAGTCATTTTGACTGATTGTGCTTCATGTAGTTCATGTTTACTTGTGCCACATTCAATCCTAAAGGAATTATTAGGGTTTGATGTACACATGTGAGAGACTGGCTCTGAAAAAAATTATTCAGAAGTCTCATTCTCAAACAAAACAATATTCTCTCATAATAACCTAACACATATCTAGCCTCTCCTTCAGAAATTGTTGTAATTCATTAAAGTTATTGTGGGGTACTTTGAACAGCACCTCTTCAGTAACTGTTAAGAGCTATAAGGCTAAATTTCATGCCCTGAACTTTTCTTTAAATTTAGGCAAGGTGAAAATTCTCCAGTCACATTCCTATCCTACATTTCTCAATTAAAATCCTGCAAAGGATGTCTTCTCTCCCATTAGTGCCATGGTTGTATGGCTTTAGAGCTTGTGTTCAAATACATTAATCAGGAGAAAATAAAAAATATGTATATATTTGAATGCCTACCTTAACCACATTTGTTCCATCAGATGCAGACACAAAATAGAAAGGAAGACCATGCTTTTTGGGGAAATTGAAACTTTTCTGTGTCATAGTGTAGTCAACTTAAGATAATACCAAGCAGTTAAGGAATATAAAGACTGCATTTATCCAAATGGGAAAATGAATTCATATACATACAACATATTATTATAAATGATTTGTTCTTTCTTTGCATGCCTGCTCACATCAATCCATTAACCCTACGAGGTACTTAACATATAACTTCTTACTGCCATTTTCAACACATTTCAACACAAAGCTCTTTTGAAATAACAGCAAACTCTCTTTAATGGATAGCAGCAAGGAAAAATCACATGTGCTTGTATGCAGAAGATCTTGCCAAATAAAAAAGCTAACTAGAGCTAATACTTTGTAACATTGATATAAAATTTTCAAAACAATTCTGGATTTGAGACCAGCAAAGTTATGTGAAATGGAAAGGTAACCTAGTTCATCAGAATCAAAAACACTGTCGGTAAGTTACAATACATAGTCTTTAATTCCAGTTCATTTTTAGAGTTGTTGCGTGATAGAAGCTATTCATAACTTTGAAGTCTCAAGAACAAGGACTAAAAGTTATTCCACAGAAAGAAAACAAAAAGGATACCATCTATTTTGTTTGCTATAACTATACAAGGAATATTCTCTCTGTATTCCCTAAGTTCTTTGTACCATTTTGCAAGATTTTTGTAAGTCACTTTTCTTGTAATATCAAATACCTGTCAAAATAAAAAGAGATCTTAACTGAAGTTTAAACAAGAGCAATTTGAATGCATACAAGGTGCACAATTACTCCTGATATACATCAGTTCTGATATATGGTTAACACTCTTCAATTACAAATTTAGGTCCCTAAAGAGCTTGTTAAGCCTTTACACCCTAACATCAACATGCATATTCTCCATACTGTTCTAAATACATTTCCTAGGGTGCTGACAAGAAGAATTTATTAAACAATCAGGAGTTTCTTTGGTTGGTGATCATTATTCTTGTTACCATAATGTGAATCAGGAGTGACATTGTAAGGAGAATTTAGACTCTAGTCACTCAAAGGGGGTTAAAGGTTAATCATTGGGGGCTCAAGATGGAGGACTTATGATAGAATAGAGTTTGGTTCTTAAAAAATCATTCTTTACTGACAGTACTTACTAGTAGACAAGAATGTGCTTGATGATAATATGATGGGTGCATACTACTGAATCTCTCTTGTCCTGCTGTATCCCAGAAATCTGGAAAAATGATATATATGTATTACTACACAGTATACTGCAAGTTCAAGTGAAGTGGTATTCATGATTGTAAAACCTCGGTCAAATGCTTTTCACCTATTTCATATAATTTCCAAACCTCAATGAGAATGTTACCCATGCCACAACTTTTAAGGTAGTAGCCAACAAATCTCCTAATGACAAAGATGTTTTCCGACAACCATAAGTAATCTTTAAACCATTCACACAAAATAGAAGAAAAGACAGTTGCTCTGATAGACAACACCAAGGCAGTTACAATAAATAACAGTGGCAGTTTTTGCCTGAGCTACTAATTTAAGGTAAGCTTTTTCATCCAGTCTTTTATGATAACTTTAAATAGCATACAGAAAAATAATTGTAACATTCTTCATTTTACATGAATGGCATTCTTTTCCATTCACCTAAATTGCAAATGTGTAAAACAAATGTTGTCTTGATCCACAAACAATCAGACTTTCTGATAGACAATGTTAAACAGAATTTTTGACACATCCTATGGCAAAAATATGTTGTTTTGAGAGACAAATCATACAATTTGCCTGGTGTAGATTTGATATTGATTAATCTATGTACTGTAGTGTCTTTTCCATCATTACTGCAAATCTACAAGAATTTCAAAGCCTGTTAACTGAACGCTTAAAACTTCACACTCATAATTTTAATGTTTAGTCTTTTTCAGATTATGCCTTTATTAAGATTTATGAATTTCTTTCTGATCAAGAATGTGTGCACAAATTGAGGTCAGTTGTATGAAATTACACAATCACATTGTATCAAAATCACAACATTCAAAGTCTTGAGTTACATAAATGTATTGTCACTGAACTTAAGGCTTACTGTTGTATAAAGTGATAACTACATGATTGTTACTTCCAGGTACTTCCTTTAATTGTATAGTTAGAACTGCCACAATGAAATAGAATTGGGTTATCTGGCTATGCTACTTTTTATTGTGTACATGTACATCCATTGTTTTAATTATAACCCTTGATGATAAAAGATAGGAGTTGTAAGAGAAGTAAGAAAACATAAAGTCAATTAGTTTTGATAATTTCATTCTCCAAGTCTCATAAAAATCAATATTTCAGAGTACCTTTCTGTCCTCAGGAACAGATATGTGCTCTAACAAAGTTAGATGGACTCATTTTTGTCTTTAAGCAACTAGATTCTGAGATATGAGCCCACAAGAACCTGGTGATTCTCCCATGAGAAAAGCTCTGATAAAAACTTTTTTCACATTGTCTTGGCCTCTTTAGTCTTAGCTGATTTCCAAATATGTCCCTTGTTCCTAAACTCATTTATATCAAGTAAGCATATTGTATTGGCAACAAAAAACTCCAACATTTCACTTCTGTGTTGTTCTCATTTAGATTTAATAAATCATTGACAAAATAAATGCAATAAAATAATGAAATAAAATAAATAACATAAACTACCAGGAAATGTGAAATGCGATTTAATTTAAATTTCCAAATTTAAGGACAAACACATATACAGTCAAACCTGTAAGCAGTCACCCATGGTGAATAGCAGAGTGATTGCTTAATACAGGTTCCAAAGATTAGGGTTATTATAAAAACAATGAACAATGCCCCTTAATGCCATAACTGACCACTTAATGTACAGAATCTTGATCAAGAATACTACCTATATTAATTCTGGGAGAGACACAAGGATTAAAAAATAATTGGAAAGCTTATTCTTAGTCTTAATTGAGTGGTTCCACTTTTAGTAGCCATTCAATGTATAGGCAGAGGACAGTAAAAACAGGCCATTAGAACTTGTTGTAAAGGGTACTTATGACCACTCGATAGAGGAGACCACTGGAGCCAGATTGGTGAAAATTACAGTGATTGAGGGGAAACACATTCAGGACTTTGACAACTGACCATTTAATACAGGGTGACTGTTTAATAGGGAGCTGCCTAATACAGGTTTGACTGTGTAAGCAGAAGACAATCAACAAATTTCACACAGATGGGCAAACTGCAGGTTAAATTGGACTTACCAACTCGAACATCAGTTCCATCAACCCTTGTCTTGTACTGAAAAAGGGTCAGAGCATATGTAGAAAGCTGCTGTGGTTTACTGTTGTTATAATTAAGGACACTAGTTTCATTGACAGACTGATAATAAACACCAGTAATATGGAGAGTACTAAATAACAAAATACAAAGGGCTGACTATAGAAATCTGGAGGCCATGTGAATTTTTCTTTCCCGAGACTGATATTTGAATTTAAAACATTTCCAGTTGATGAAAATTGATGAGCAAACATAGCTTATTGTAGGATTACTTTACATGTTCGTAACAGCTTCTTTTATTAGAAAGCAAAACAATCAAAAGCACCTGTATTCGATTTGGGAAATACTTGACCTGAAATGCTCAGTGATGTGATCATGAGATGATGTGACAAGCAACAGACTTCAGAGATAGATTGAATATTGAGGTAAATTGTACTTTGACATTAATTTCAAGATGGTTTTGCGATCTATATCGAAAATGGCAATTCCTTGGTTCATGTATACGTAGGGTACTGTACATTTGTTCTTTGATATTATTTAGTTTTCCTAGCATTCAGTAGCAATACTTGATGAGCTTCGCGTACAATATAACAAAAGAACATGTCCGAGGCAATATATCTTTTCGGTCATTGAGTGACGCTAAAGGCCTCTTGAGAATAAGGAGATTTCTAAAACAGTTCTCCGAATAAAATTTCGCTCTATTGACGTACAAAACCGTAATTTACTGCGAGAGGTGGCGTCAAAACTGAGAAAAAAGAAAACATCATTGTTTAACAAATGAGGTTAGAAAATTTTAATTTTAAAATATAACCGGGTAACGACAGTCACTTAATAAATGAAAAAAAAACTTAGCGAGAAACCAGCTTCCGTATAAATAACCAAAAACTGAGAACCTATTGCTCCCCTTGATCAATATTATTAGACTAAATCAAAACTACTTTGGCGGAATTGCTAGAGCACGGTAAAAATCTAGACACTTAGCTAACAAAAAGCATTAAGGATACTATCCATCCATGAGAAATCTCTCAACCAATCTGAAAAGGAAATAATGTCACAAAAATTAGCCGGTTTGTTGGACGCTACCGTTTTCCTACAAAACAGCAAGAACAGGTTTACGAGACATAAGATATCACACAGTCTGCCTTACTTTGACTTCCCTACAGCACTGTCTCCTAAGCAAATAACTTTGACGGAACCATCGCTGCTCCTTTTATCTCTCGTTTCGTTTTCATGATTCGCGACAACATCATTAGCCGCCATTTTCATTCCAAGCTTCGCAATACCCATCATGCCTCGCGACTATGCACTCTATCTCTGCCTCACTTTCGCAACGTGTTGCTTAGCAACTGACTAAACAGCTGGCCGATCTTCGAGTTCTTCAGAGAAGAAATAATTGAAAAATTGTAAACGGATTATTTTCAATCAGTGCTGAACAAAATAAATTGGCAACTTATTTATTAACGTTAAAAAAATTAAAACAAAATAATGCTAGCTTGTCAGTAAATTTATATAAAATTTCTTAGTTGCGAAGAAAGTAAAGATTTTATTTTTCAATCATAGACTAGTACTAGTCTAAAATACCGGTTACTATATAAAATAAAAAACAAAACCTATCTACATGGAGAAATTCTACCGAAAAATGAAAGTTACGTTTATTTCAGCACTTTAATTGGATTTTTCCCTCCGCATCATTGGTTTTCAAAATAAAGGGATGACAGCTGAAATTAAGTATCCAATATTTTTTTTTTGAACCTGAGGAAAAATGGAAAATTTCGCAAATAAAATTTTGATATCCCAGTAAAATCAATAATGAACCAGGAACCGGTGATAGTTGAGATACACGTTTTTAATCACAGAACTGACTGAAATTGAGATTATCATTTCATCTGTCAATACTTATTTCGGAATTTAACAATCTGAAATGCAAACAACTTGGGTTTATTTCCAATTTTCTACGTATGGTGATAGATTATTCATTTTTATTTGACACTGCTATGAAATTAGTCATACAGGAAATTTCAAACACTTAATTTGAAATTTTGCAAATTGCTTAGAGTCTGTTTGCGCGTAGCCTACTTTCATTAAAAGATTGTAAAGACATCCCTATCAATTTTAATGTCATGGAATATTATTAAAACTTTTATTTTTCTACCGCTCGCTGTAGTCGCTCGCTGAAAACAAAGGAAGAAAACATCATGACTTTGCATTATCTCATGATTCTTTTTAATCCCGGCTTTTGGTTTATTTGAAGGAGTTGGGCTATTAACTCAGGCTCTGGCTTTATATCAGGGTGTATTTGTTCAACTGTACTACCAACAACAATAAAACCGTAAAAAGTTGAATACTCTCGAATACATAATTTCTCGCCAGACGACAGAGAGGCGAGAAGAAAGTGGCAGATGGTTAAATCAACCGTGTCGGGGGCCAACTGAACTAAAACGAAAACAAACATAGCCAACAAAACAATTTATGCGTCCTTTGATCGTAGAATATACGATCCAAATTTGCGATGAAAAACATTTCTTTTCGAATGTAAGGTAGTTAGGACGTTAACAAGAAGCCAGAGCTGACAAACCTCAAAAGTACGAAAGGAATTACGCAAAATTTGGAGCTATACAATGATAAAAAAAAAACAACAAAAACAGTTTAGATGGAAACCATTGCGTATAATCTAATCTGACATTTTGCAAAATCAGTGGTGGCAATTGTCAAATTCGTTTTCGCCCTCAGCACGAGTACTTTTTCTTTTTCTTCAATTTTTCAACAAAAGGAAATCAAACACAAGGTTTAAAGAAAATAAAGCGGTCTTATTTTCATTAAAAATTTTTCTTGAAGAAATAAGAACCATGTAAAAAAAATTACGAGCGCAAGGGGCTGGGACTGAGGAACCTCAAAACCAAATATAAGAGCTCTGAAGTTGGCCTCAAAAAATTTCTCCTAGAGACTTCTCCCTGAGCTCTCTGGTTTTGTTCTCCGCGTGAAACCTGGGAAGCGATAGGCGAACAATTCCGTGACGTCACGGTTCCTAATAGGGCTCAGGTCGACCGAGCCAAACAGGATTTCTTTAACCCTTTTGTCCAAAAGCCTTTTTCGGTTGATTTTATTTGTCCCTTTTGAGCATCCAGTCATCAAATTGTAGGGCAAAATTAATGGCAATGAGTTTCCTATTAAAGCTTTCAAATCTGAAATCAGATTTCACACTTACCCTGGGTTGTCTTAACCCAGCTTTGAACAATTCGGTCTAGGCTCCTAAAGGAGAGAAGAGGGGTGGAGGGAGAGAGGGAAACTGTAAGGTAACTATAAGGTACACTGAATCTCTTTAATCTTGCCTTGATACTCTACCTTCGTTTTTACTAGAAACAATAAGGACACTTTACTCCGACAAGAATTAAAATGCGGAGAATAAGCAATTAAGTGCGTTGAGATAATGCATTGCTGAAGTACAAAGTGCTGAAAAGTTTTTAACCGCTGGTTAATGAATTTCAACCCCGAGAGAGGAGGGGTTGCGTGTTTTCTTAAATCATCATAATTACAAATGCGATGCTCTTTGAGTACACGTGGATATCGCGCGTGTAATGTCAGCCAATCACTTTACGGGTCACATTATAATTTTAGATTTCAGACAAAACAAGTTAATACCAGCCGCGCCTTCGGCTCACACAACGCAAACGGCTTCAAGTCACCGTTCTTATCTTCAACCAGTTCTACTAGCCATCGGTAAAATGCCGAGAACTCGCAGAACAACTGCAGCACACGGAACAACTTCAACATCGGGATCGACGTCGCGTCGCGCGCGATCTCCAGCAACAACTCCGGAGTAAGTAAACAGAGCAATTACATTATAATGCAAAAGAAAAGAGACTCCTCAAGATGGACTTTTTTTATGTTATTGTCCTTCTGATGTAATCACAAAAGTTCATATTTTTTCTTCTGACTTCTCTCATGTGCGGTAAACATTGCTTGGTGTTTATCGTACGCAGACGTGTGGAGAGATTTTTTCGCGCTATCGAAATTTCCTTTCTTTTCCGCATACCCGCTTGATTGCTCTTGTTGAATCGCTGGTGAGTCATCATGTCTTGTTTGCTATGTTGACTCGCAGGCGAGTTAGCACATTCTTTCACAGGTTTCCGTCTATTGACAGTTGGAAATCTTGCGTGCGATTTTTCGGCGCGCTATTTTAAGGTGACTACGCTGCAACAGCATGGCTTCCTTCCTTCGACCAGACAGACGATAAGCCTTGTCTATTGAACCTGTAGACAAATAATAGAGAAATAGAGGCGCTTCGGTCGCTTGCAATAATCCTTCTTTGCATATTTACAGCATCAATCAATTTTAATAGAGAGCTTTGGATAAGAAAAATGCGCGCGCATAAGAGAAGAAATTAAAGAAAGAACTCGAATACTGCAGTAAACAAAGATTTTAACCAAATATTGACCCGTGGAACAAAAGCGATTTGAATACGGTTGTTTTTTTTGCATTTTTGTCTCGCCCACGCGGGACAGTGTTTGTCAGCATTGCTTCAGAACTAGGAGTCAAAAATTTTTAATCTTCTGTCCTTGGATTATTTTTGTAATAAACGGTTATTAGAGCATCAATCTGGAATTAGCCAGCGTGACGAGCGTCAGCATTCCCGTGGTGTTCACGGAATAAGAAAAATCTCGAATCGAGTCGATTTGGTCTGTCTGTATATGCCGCCACTGCATCAATAGTGTAGGCTGTCTATAGGTTGGCACATGTTGATTCTGTGGAACTTGGGTACTCACAACACGTAATCAACATACTATAAATATGTTAACAAATATCATTTACAAAGCGTTAAAGATCTAAATTCTAAATGCGTCCTTTAGGACTTTTTCTCCTCTGCAATCAATTCACTAGCACAGCTAACGGTTTTGTGGACGCACAAAGCTGCGAAAACGGTTAGCAGAAATTTGAGTGAAAGCGCCTCCAAAACTACCAGCTTTGAAAGCTAGATTTTTAGTTATTTAGACTATTTTCGTGTTTCTCAGCGGTATTACCTTTAAAACACCAAATTAAAACAGCAGTAATGTTTATGTGTGTAAACTCGAGCTATCCGAATTTCGGTCAATCCAAAATGCAGACTGAGGATTTAACTGTTTTTCCGTCTGATACGTGTAACATGTCATCTTACAACTTATCAAGTGTCACGCAATCGCCTTTCCGCGAACATCTTTCACGATCATTTGCACCATTGTGGATTATTCCTTGCCCGTTTCCTCGTACATTTTGTTTTTGACAAAGTGGCTATTGTGTTCGGTTTTTAATAAAGCGGCCACAATCGTTCTTGATAGAATTTCAAGTCTTCGTATAGTCTTCTCACTTCGTGCGCGAGATGTCAGTATTAAATAATTATCACGCGCAATATTCGAGAAACAATTTACAGCTTTGCACGTGGTTCGTACACGACATGTTTTTAACCGATATGTGTTCATTTTTTTCGACAAAAATGCGGACCGAGATCAAAACTGTTCCTTCGATTTGGTATATTTCCAACGTTCAGGGGTGTACACGCACTGATTGACTGGCAAAAATGGCACAGTTGTGGTTTAATCTCTCATCTGTTTGGTCTAGGCAAATATTAATATGTAAAACTCAGTGTGTTACAAAATTCCACAAAAGTGCAAATGATCGTGAAAGATGATCGCGGAAAAGCGATTGCGTGACACTTAGTAAGTTGTCAGATAACATGTTAGGTAATTTAGTGTTAACAACTGGGTTGAAAACGTAAATTAGCCACCGTAAAGGGTAAAAAGCTGACGTTTCGAGCGTTAGCCCTTCGTCATCGCTCTGACGAAGGGCTAACGCTCGAAACGTCAGCTTTTTTACCCTTTACGGTGGCTAATTTACGTTTTCAACCCAGTTGTTAACACTAAATTACCTGCTGTACTCTCCCACCGACGCAGCACCACAGTTTCTTTAGAAACTTACCCCTTTATTCAGATAACATGTTACCAAGTACAGTTAAAGTTCTCAGTCTGCATTTTTTACCCAGTATGCAGTCCGCATTTTGTACCTAGACTGCATTTTGTTGTCGGTTCGCAGTCTCTAATCTGCAGTCTGCGTTTTGTACTGAGCGATCTCATTTCCCTCCTTTCACAGACCCAAGCGACGAAAAAATGACCAAGAACTTGTACAAGACTTGCCGTAAGTTACATCCTCTAGTTTTAATGTCCTTGACTTTTGTCAGATTAATTTTGTTCGATCAATTGTTTGTTTGCTCTTTAATTGATAAAAGCAAGCAAGGCATAAACAAAAATGGCTCTCAATAC